ATATATAATAAGTATATATATATATTTTATGATAGCATCAAAATGTAAATAGTGAACATGGTGGATGATGTAGTTTCCTACAATGCAGAATAAATTTACTGTATTAACAAAGCAGATAGAACCAGAAACGTGTGTGCTATAATGGCTTTCTGCTCTGCTGTGTGCACGCCTTGTACAGTACATTTCGGGGCAAAAATCAAAGCCATGCACACATTAACATTCTCCAATATTAACATTTCCTAACATAAGCTTATGTGACAGGACATTCCAGGACTGTGGACGTTGACATCCAAGGTTGCTCAACCATTCAGTCCTTGTTTACTTGGCTGAGTTTCATCTGCATGGCTCACCAGTCTTGCGCACCAAAGTGTGGCGAATTCTGGAGAGTTTCTCAAGCCTTACGAAAGACCTCGTCCACGTTTATGAAAGACTAGACATGAAATATGCCTCTTCGATGGGACTAGCACTGTGAAATAGTCTTTTGCACTAGCTGAATATGTGCACATTAAATACATCTCATGGCCTGCTTCAGTGTCCCCAGCTGGCTCTGACCCTCCTTTGGGAAGTCACTTTATTACTAGGAAAATCCATTCGGCTTAGATGTGAGGATACATGTGGTGGATTCTTTCAAAAACTTGCCATTGGCGCTTGAGCTTGACTCCAAGACTTTTGAGGTGAATCCTCTTTCTCTGTGCCATAAATCTTTCCATGGAAATTCCTCCTGCCATTGTTAAAGTGGGAGAAGGTAGTGTAGACCAGCAGAGGAAAAAAACAAGATAGTTTGTGCTGAACACTTGGGCAAGTGAGAGAAAAGCTCAAAATGAGATCTGGTCTCAGCCTGACCCAAGGCAGCACTTGATACCAGACTTTCCTTATCGTACACAGCGGTTGTTCCAGGGCCTTCGTTCAGTTCAGTTCCCAGACATCTTCGGGCCGTTCTCTCTGCCTCAATGCTGCCATCTTGTGGATGGTCTCCACAGCTTGCAGCGTGAAGGCCCCCCTTTCTCTGAAGGAAACTGCTGCTTTTGTGTGCTTCTCATTGGAGGGGAGGAGTGGGTCTTGCGGAACCATGAGAATTTTGCCTGTAAAATTATCTTTATTATTTGATTACTTTTACCAAAACAAGTTTTTGCATATCAAGAATTTCATTTTTCCCCTATGCTTAAAAAGTCTAGCCCTCTTTAAAAACGAGGCTAAGTAAAAGAAAATCAGGCTGTGAGGTTTAACAAACACCACAGCAGATAGCACCGTGCAGGACCTACAGGCTAAATCATTCCTGCGTATCCATTCACGCTTTCTTCCCAGCTTCCAATGAAAGCGTTTTGAAGATTTAAAAATATGTAAATGGGTGGCTATTTAAGTGTGCTCTGGCTTTATACGACCTTGCATTGAGGTTTTAAGTGGATAGAATAATTTATATGTAAATTTGGAAATTCACTAAAAAAGCAGAAATGTATTCTCCAATTAATTGACCTGATGGAAAAGCTCAGAAGGAAAAAAAAAAATACATAATCCTAAGAAAATGCTTCAGAGACTTCTGACACTGAGGACCCAGAGCACTGGCGGCTGTGGCAGAAGAGAGCCTGCAGGGTAAGGGCGCGCTGCCAAGTCACAGCTCCAGACTTTCGAGGGCCACGGGTCAATCTCTAATAAGTTTCTCTGCACTGATGGACATCAGTCTCTGTGACTCATCCTCAAGAACAGAGAATCTTTCATATCAAATAGGGTGGAAGTAGACGAAATGCTGCAGAAACAATGTCAGCGTTTCGGAAAATAGCCTTCCTGGAAATTTCATGTAAACCCAGTTTGACAGGCGGTCCATAATGTTTTTAGAGCTGGATAAAATAAAGCATAATAATACTAAATGTGATTTTGCAAATATTTGGACATCCCTATACATCAGTTGGTTCCTTGGTAATCCTGGATTTTGCGGCTTTCCCAGAGTCTTTGAAACAGACATGAAGTTATAAAAATAGTGCTGTCCATGAATGTACTGAAGGCCTCTTTGACCCTGCGTGATGAAATCTTTCTCTGCTTGTCTCTTATTTTTCCCTTCCCGCTCACTGAAGAGTTTCCAACATATGGCTTTAACTGTGAGTTTGGCTGGGGCTCTCACAAGACGTTCTGTCACTGGGAACACGACAGCCAGGTGCAGCTCAAGTGGAGTGTGCTGACCAGCAAGACGGGCCCCATCCAGGACCACACAGGTACGGGGCGCGGGGGTGTCAGGGCTGACAGGTCCTCTGGGCGCCAGAGACTGGGTCCCCGGGAGGGTTCCCGCTGCTCTATCTAGGGAAATACGAAAATAAGATGAGTGTTCATGCCGCTCGTGTTGTAGTTTGGAATTTACAAGGCATCTTTCCCTGGTGGAGACAGGCTTCGGGCAAATGCTGGGAATGCTGAGGGCCGCACTGGACCACGGCGCCCTGCGCAAGGATGGGTGAATTCATGCTCGTTTTACCCTTTATCTGAGCTCTTCATTAATGACTCTTCGATCCATGCAATAGTATAAACAAGAGAAGGTATGGACATTATATGTACATAACTCTGCTGCAGCAATGATTTTAAATCATGGGAATCTGAGTTTATCGCTGTCATCTCCGACTCGAGATTAATTAGCTCTGTCATCGCTGATTCTGGATTAATTTATGTCTGCGTGCATATTATGCCATGCTGTTTATTTTACAACAAAGAAACGAGTAAGCCTCACACTACTCATCAGAGTAGACCCAGATGTGGAGGTGAGCCAGGTAGGGTGAGATTTGTATTCTCCTAAGGAGAGATCTTTTAAATCTGGCCCATTTCTGAGCAGGCAGAACCCTCCCCACACCCCAGCTCACAGCCCAGCCCACCTCCAGCTTTATTTCCTGCTTTATTAATCGGTGGCGGAGGGCAGGAGTTGGGGAACAGAGGGAGTTGGCAGTTGCTCGGTATGCTCTTTATTCCACCCACACCCTGTTTTCACCCTAGAAACTTCATCACCATATAAAAAATCAGCAGTGTCCTGCCAAAAAAATCACACGCACACACACACACACACACACACACACACACACACACACGCAGACACGCGCAACCCTACTTCCCTACTCTTCTCGGTGATGCAGCGCACTGCTCCCTTCAGTAATGGCTTCCCCAAAGGTCCCCAGGGGAGCACCTGTGATGCTGTGAAATCCCAGTGTGTTCTCCCCGTACTGCTGCCCAGGACCCGGGTCCGTGGTCTGACAGCCGGCAGAGTGCACTTCACGCCTTTCCCGCTTTGTTGTTTCCTTTTTCTCAGCGAACAGGACCATTAAATAGGTTGAATAGGCCTCCTTCCACCGAGGCTACCTCCCTGCCTAATGAGAATGACAAGGAAATTGGATAAAATTGGACTCCTTCAATTCTGAGACACTTTCCATTGAATCTCAAGACAAGCAGTTTTAGAAAACTTAAAATACTTTGACTGTAAATGGCACCATACATATAAATGGCATCAAATTAACTAAATGCAATTAGCTGAAATGAAAGCAGTAATGGTGGAAAAATGGATGCAAAGTGAAGGAAAGTGGCTCAGTAGGATCTGACATTCAAAGGAGGTTAAAAGCTATGTTAGCCAGAGACAAAAGCTAAAAGGCTTACAGAAGTAAAGTGCTAATTGAGAAAATGAAGACAGAGTTCTTGACCCAGAGCTGTGATAAAAACCCCTGAAAGGGAAAAATATCAGCACTTTATGTGTTGGGGCGTCCAAAAAGGAGGGCTTGTCTCAGATGAGCCGCTGAGACGTGTGATTCCTTCAGAAGGATTTGCCTCCTTTGTTCTCCAGCCACCCAGATTTACTTGGCTGCCATGCTAGGTCTGCCTGGACTAGGAAGAGTGTCTGAGGTACGAGAAGTGCAGTCATCTGAGAGAAGCAGGCAGCCTTGGTCTGCTAGGCAGGGACTTATTAAGGGGAGCCGGTGTGGATGAGAGGAGCTCACACACACGGCCTGCATCGGGGAGTAGGTGGCACTTTCTGATAATATTGTTTGGAGCTTCGCAAATCGAACATTGCAGCTTTATAATCGCCTCCATATGGGTGAAATATTCAGTTCTGAATTTAAAGGAAGCCCACTTGGCTTTCTGTTTCTGACCTCTAAAAATGCAGCTGAGTTCTTCTTATAGAACATTCCTCAAATCCAGCTTCTTTGCTAAAGATTTAGGAGGGAAAGAAGCCGGATTTCTGGTGCCTGTCATAGCATAGCTCTTTAACATGGCCGATGCTACGCAGGGCACCAGAAATTCAGGTACAGTTACCTCTCTGTGTCCACTGGTACCACACCCATGGGTTTAATTAACCTCAGACCAAAATCGTCCACAAAGAAAAATTGCATCCCAGGGCCGGGGATTTAGCTCAGGGGTTCGGTGGCCTGCCTTGCAAGCACAAGGACCCAAGTTCAATCCCTGATACCAAAAAAAAAAAAAAATTAAAAGAAAGAAAAATTGCATCTCCACTGAACATGACAGACTTTTCTTGTCATTATTCCCAAACAATACAGCACAACCACTATTTACATAGCATTTACATTGTGTTAGGTATTACAGGTAACATAGAGATCTTCTAAAGCATAGGGAGGAAGTGTGTAGGTTATACATGAATTCAGAACTGAGTCCCTCTGTAGCCACAGGAGTTTGGCCCCAGGTATTCATGTCCCTTGTATAAAATGGCATCACATTTGCATCAAACATACCCACATCCTCTTGTATACTTTATAGCATGTCTAGATTACTCATAATACATAACGTCTTATAAACATTGTGTGAATAGCATTTATCATGATACTGATGGAGGGGTGGCACATGATACAATACATATATGTATTTGGTCTGAGTTTATCTGAGTCCATGGATTTGGGACTCATGGATTTGAAGGGCCAACTGTACTATACCACTGTGTCTAAGAGGATTGAGCTGGGTTTTGTATCCCTGGGGTTCTGTAGCCAATGCCCTACAGACCCTCAGGGACAGCTGCCTAAAGCAGGATGTCCTGACCCCTGGGGACCTCATAGGCTGCTTGTGGATGTGAAGCCCTCCCGTGCAGCTGGGCAGGGGCATTCTGTAGCAGAGGAGAGCAGCAATTGGTAAAAAGTAATGCAGGAGGAGTCAGAGAGTGAGGTCTTGTCCTAGGGGCCAGCTGATCCAGCCTTGTTTTCATGGGTTACAAGTGGGGTGGTTTGAAAATACATTTCCATGCAACATTTAGGTTTATGGCATTAGTGCTGTGAAAAAAAGCATGGATAGGCTAGAGGCAGTGGAGAGGCAATGAGGAATTTTAAGCAAAGGTCTCACAGGAGCACATTGCTAGAAGGCCGCAGGGGCAGCAGGACTCTGCTGTGAAATGCTTTTCCAGAAGCCTTCCTCTCTTGCCCATCAAGGGTTCCTCCTGACTGCCTGTTCTCCAGCCAGCCTAGAGGAACTTTGGGTAATAGGTTCAGTAGATGTTTTCTTTCTGCAGCGAGGCCAACTTCAGCCTTTTCCCACGAGACTCAGGGAGCAGGGGTGAGGGGTGTATTTTTCGGTGGCTGGGTCACACAAGCAGGTGACTGCAGCTTGCTAAATTACTAGGGCTGAAGAAATCCTAGGAGTGATGAAATCAGCTGGGACAAACAGTCCTCTGCAAAGGGGGAGAGAGCAAGAGAGAGATGACCAGTGGCACCTCCGTCCTACTGGCCTTGTGACTTGTTTCCATACTACTTTCATGGTTTTCCCCATTGGTTTTAATAAGAATGTTCTGGCGGAAGTTGGTGGGCAGCCAGGTAAGGGAGAAAAATGCTGTCTGACAGCCTACCCACTTCCGCATGGACGGTGTTGATACAGTCAGACACAAGGATGAGTTCCATATATGCACAGAGAGAAGGTGCCTCATGGATACGCAGGTCTCTAGGGCAGCATGCAAAGCAGCTCACTGCCCACTGAGGCCTGGGCATTACATTCACACTTACATCAGGTGAGGCATTGGAGCTGCTGATTTCTATTTGCAGAATAAACAGTGAAATAAGAATCGTGTTTAGACCAGGTGGAGGCAAGAGAAAATGCTCCTGGGGGTGGATAATTAAAGTGAAGCCAAAAGTCAGCCCTCATGGCTCAGAAGTGTCCACCTTACCAAACTGCTGCGTGCTAATTCTAATGAGCCTTGAAAGTGCAACCCTGCTTCTCCTGGAACCAGAAGCCCCTCGAAGAAAAGCAGGGCTCTCAGCTGAAACGGAAGCTCTTGGGTGTGTTTGAGGAATTCTTAAAACCTTAACATACACTACAGGAATGACGGATTTGGAAAGAAGCTTGATGGCTTGTTTGGGGGAAATGTTAAGTGTATAATTATCAAGCAGTCTAGTGACCAAAGCTCCATCACTCCTCCAGGAGTCCGGCGATTCAGAAGATGCATAAGGAATCATCTAAATTAGTCCATTCAACACCCGTGTTCACGAGAGGCCCCCCGAAGCTGTCTTAGAATCACACCAGAATAGCTTTTCCAAGCAGTCCGACACTTTCTGCTCTGCGTAGAAAGGCTGGGCCTCCAGTCTGCCTTTGATGGTGGTCAGGTGATGGGTGCATAATGATTTTCTAGACTGGGGCTTCCCAGTCAAACTCCACTCAGAAGCGTGGAGTAGGCCACAGGTGCCCCCCACATTCTCCTGCACACCCCTGTTGCCACCGCCTCTCTGGTGCTGGGCGCTTGGCTCAGGGGAAGGATTCTGGTTGGTGGAACTTGAAGGAGATGAAGTTGTTGCCCTGTGCTCAGCCACTCTCCCTAACACCGCTTTTTGCCACAGCAGGAGATGGCAACTTCATCTACTCCCAAGCTGACGAAAATCAGAAGGGCAAGGTGGCCCGCCTGGTGAGCCCTGTGGTTTATTCCCAGAACTCTGCCCACTGCATGACCTTCTGGTACCACATGTCTGGGTCCCACGTCGGCACCCTGAGAGTCAAACTGCGCTACCAGAAGCCAGAGGAGTACGACCAGCTGGTCTGGATGGCCATCGGACACCAAGGCGACCACTGGAAGGAAGGGCGTGTCTTGCTCCACAAGTCTCTGAAGCTTTACCAGGTATGAGCTTCCCTAGGCAGGGGTAGCTGTGCTGAAGATGATCCAGATGAGACGCAGATACTTCCAACAGTCACTTCCTGTGTCTCCCAAACCTGAGCTATTAGCTGCCCTGCTGACCGGCTCCATAGCATGTTTCTGGGTCTCCTAGATTACAGAATAGACCAACTTGCTGAGAAAGGAGGGGACATGCCTTTTTGTAATCTATTTCTGAGCCGTTATGAGGTGTCACTCTTTTTATTTGCTGCATCTCCCCTGTTTTAACCTCCGCATGATAAAGAGAATGTGAGGAGAAGTTTCATGCCCTCGCCAGGCAGCTGATATGGATTAATGCAGGAGGTGCGTGGTTACCCACCATCTCACGAGGTGAATTATGGGCCATGGCTTCAGCTGGGCGAGCATTTGCAAACAGTGCTATTTGGGATGAGCATTTAAATACTGTGAAATGCTTTCATTTTGTCAGGTGATTTTCGAGGGCGAAATCGGAAAAGGAAACCTTGGTGGGATTGCAGTGGACGACATTAGTATCAATAACCACATTTCTCAAGAAGACTGTGCGAGTGAGTATACGTTTGATGTAGAAACCAGTGGCACTCATGCCCAGGGCAAGGTTCTTTCCATGTGGCTGTCTGTGTCTTGCTCATCTGAGACCTAAAGTTTCCACGTGGGTTTCGATATACGAAACTCATATTCTGGTGTGACAGGGCATAAATCAATTCCACTGACCTTAACCTACTACATCACCTAATCTAGTCCATGTAGAATGGCTGGCTGATACCTGCAAAACTTTATAAATAAATGTGGAATCCAAAGGCCATAGCACAACAGAAAGATTTATTTTACAAGTTAATCTGGCATACCAAAATATTTTGATGAGAAGAGGAAAGCTCAGACATCTGGATAGTTCCAAATATCTTGAGTGTGTAAACAGAACAGCAGGCTTTTGAAAATTTTGATCACAGTGAATTTAATTAAGATTACATTGTTAATGAATCATAGAAAACAACATTCTTTGCTTTCTTACAAATAAGTAGTCGTTTCTCACTCTAAAGATAGCTGAAATGACTTAAAAGAATAAATGGAATGCAGAGACTTTGTCTAGGATTTCAGAGTTGGTCTTTATGGGCCTGGTACTATACAGATACAAATATGACATTGAAAACCAATTCATATTCCCTAGTTCTTGATATATAATTACAAATAGTATCACTAATGACAGTGTAATAGCACAGAAATTAGTCTTAAGCGCCATTTGCTACAGTTAAACTTTTGTTATATATCATTATATAATAGAATGTTAATTATAACAAGACGGAATAAGCCTATTGGGCAAATTTAGGACAAAGGAAGCCTGTTGGCTGTAATGGGCTCTTGGTCATTTCAGCAACTTAAAGAGCTTCTATTATACAATATATATAATCCCCAATCCTGTTGGCTGTAATGGGCTCTTGGTCATTTCAGCAACTTAAAGAGCTTCTATTATACAATATATATGTAATCCCCAAAGTGGTAATAATTTGATAAGGTCAATTGAAGAAATTTGAAAAAAAAAAAACCTTGAATAAAGGTCTGCTTTGCATTCTCTGCAAAGAAATCTCTTTATTTCTGGCTGCTTAGCAAATCCTTGCCCCAAAAATGATATAGTTTAATATTTCAATTGCGACTCCTTTACAAATTACCCCATCCAAGTCTGTCCTGCAGTGTCTCTTGTGCAGTTACACAGTGTGTGGGATCCCCTCCCATCTGAGCATGATGATTTGATGTTTGGGGGTGGGGGGTTGAGAGCAAACTCCACAAACTAAAACAAAGAAGTAAAATTCAGTTCAGTTCAACAGAGGTTAGCTGCATGCAGAGCAGCACACTCAGGGAATGCAGATGAAAAGAACTCCTCAAGCCTCGCCCCTTTCCTGTGATTTTCTGCCTAACAACAGCAGGAGCTGCCCACCAGGCATTGTAGTGGGAAGGTCGCAAGTGGAGCTCCAGTGAATCATACACACATGTCTGCACCTACACAGAGATGTTAAAGATAATACACTGTTCAACAAGTACACATTCCTGAGCATCCAGCCATGGAAGCATTAAGAGTCTCCACTAGCATCCATTCATTGACACAGCAAGTATTTATTAAAACATCTATTATGTGCTTGAATCTATTCTAAATACCACAGACCACCAGGAACAAAGTGCTCAAAACTCCCTCTGTATCAGTCCCATGAGGGACACTGGGATTAAACTTGTTCCATAGCATAAACTTGTTCTTAGTGCATTAATTTGTGCATTGCCATTTAGTGATACAGAGGATACTGGCTCTTGTGTCAAAGAATGGATGTGCTATTTGGAAAGCCAAATTAACAACCCCCCAAGGTAGGAAGACATTCTCTGCATACTGCAGCCCAGTAGCCATGGGTCCAAGCCCACCTCTGTCCCCTATTTTCTTCAGACTGTTCCCATATTCTACCATGTTCTCTTCTCAAACAACATGTTCTGCCAACAGCCATACTACCTGGGTTTCCATGTGATGCCCAAAAGGAAGTGTCCTGCGCCCATGTCACTGACTTCATGATCATTGTACAGGGGTTTTCTGTCACTGAAGAGAGTCATTTTCTGCATTCAGAGCACACTAAAACCTCCAAAGGAATTCCCACAGAGGCACATCTTACACACGTGTGCTTGTGTGCAAAAGCCTGGGTAGGTTGTGTGGAGTGCATTTCATTGACCATTCAAATATCTCCTTTCGATTTTGTTTGGCTTGTCAGAACCAGATGACCTGGATAAAAAGAATACGGAAACTAAAATCGATGAAACAGGTAAAATTGCTGACTGCTTTTCATATTTCCTGTGGCTTTCATGTTTGTGAAGAAATGTCCATACCCTGATGTGTCGGAGCAGTTCAGTAAAATAAACATGTGTGTCAGGACCGGGGCAGGGGCGGTGCTGAGGATTGGCTTTGGTCGCCCACGCTGCCCATAAAATGTGGGCAACTCTGACAGGACAGCTGGGGTATGCAGTTGAGTCTTCCCCGGTCTGAGCTTTAATTCTGAAATCAAGTAAAACATTCTTACTTTATTGTTGTGCAAACTAGTGAAGATTATTTTCCTACAATAATTCAAAACCGACTCAGATTTTTGTGCCGGGTTGATGCCCATGTAAGATCCTTCAAGGATTAGAGCCCAATATTTCTGATAACCCATTGTGTTTGTTCCCTCTATTCCATCTTTCTCAATTTGCTCATGGGGGTGAAAACAGCGTTGGTGAGGACTTACTGAGGAGCTAGCATGTTCTGCACACTTCGCACCTATTATCTGGCTGAGCTCTCATGGAGCTGTTCACCCCTATTTTACAACAAAAGAGGCTTAAGGGATGCAGCTAATTAGGGGCTGGCCTTGGACTTGCGTCTCATTTACTTAGAAATGTGTTTCATTGGATCCCGGTCTGAGATCAGATGCAAGACATTTCATCGATCTCAAGCCTGGCGTTATTTATTCGCAGAAGCCTCTGCACCTTGTGGCCAGCCCTGTGGGTCCTTAGACACCTGCCCCAAATCACCCTCTGTTGCCATCGGAAATGTAACCTACTCTGTGGACTCGATAGATAAACATACCGTGGTGTTCTCGCAAATATTAGCACATTCCCCAGTCCACACAGCTCTCGGTGAACTTTATTAGGAGCTGTTTCAGAACACTGTTTCAGCAGGGGAGAGACTATTAGTATGCCTCCGAGGCCTGCTTCCCCTGTTTCCAGGCGCACCGAGGATATTCGCTGATCAGAACACGGTTGAGTAAGTCAACACCACGCGTGCCACCCATGAACCTTTGAGTCCGGGTCCCAGGTACTGAGGCTCAACGCTCCCGTATTCATTGCTCCCGCCCCACTCTAAGCAAAGCGAGTGCCCGCTGTGTCAGCTGCACAGCCATCTGGTCACCTCCAGTGCGTCTTCCCTTTGGCTGGTAGGGCCGCAGCTCCTTAGTTTGAACCCCACACTTCAGATCAGGGAGCGCTCCCTTGCTCTGTCCCCGGGTGAAGCTGCAGTAGACTTAGGGAAAGCTTGCCTGACTTAACAGGGCAAGCACAGGGGTGGGTTCTCCACTCGGGACAGGGAATGTGTGTGCAGGAACACAGAAGTCTCCCTGGTGCCAGTCTGGGGTCAGGCACTGCCCGGGACGTGGTGAGCCTCTCTCCCCACTGAACACTGCATTTTGCCCAGGGCCACAAGCATAGATGACAGCCTAGCACAGAGTTCATCGCGTGGAGTCTGATTCAACCAGAACTAGGGGGGGGGGCTCGGTTCCCACGTGCTGAGCCATGGGCCCCAGTCCGGGCTCCCCCACCTCCCCACCACGAGTCCGGTCGGCAGGCGTAGGTGGGGCTGTGACCGGGCCACTTTGTCTTTTCCTCCACCTCTGTCTGCCCTCACCTGGTGCAGCCACCCACAGTGATCACAGAGCCACTCTTCTGTCTGCAGGGAGCACCCCAGGATACCAGGGCGAGGGAGAAGGCGACAAGAACATCTCCCGGAAGCCAGGCAACGTGCTGAAGACCTTGGACCCTATCCTCATCACCATCATCGCCATGAGTGCCCTGGGGGTCCTGCTGGGGGCCGTGTGTGGGGTCGTGCTCTACTGTGCCTGCTGGCACAACGGGATGTCCGAGAGAAACCTGTCTGCCCTGGAGAACTACAACTTCGAACTCGTGGACGGCGTGAAGTTGAAAAAGGACAAACTGAACACACAGAGCTCCTATTCGGAAGCATGAAGCCGGGCGGAGGAGGGAAGTGGAGGACGTGACGGAGCGAGCGGGGGACGGTCATCCGCTCTCGTGGACAGGCTGGACAGTGCGGTGATGACACTGAGCCAGGCTTTTCTCAGGAGCTTCGATGCGCGCGGCCGACAGACGGGGACGGTGAGCTGTGCTGGCGATCGCAGTCAAGTACAGTCGGCTTCTTCTGTTGGTTCCTTTTGAATAATCAGATGCCGGTGTTGCGACCAAGCGTGACGGACTTGAGCGACTCATTTCCACTCTCCCTGCCTCGCCCCTTCCCCCTCTCCCTCTGATGGCTTCTTTTTGGAAACTGCAGAATCCAAGATGCTGGCGCCAAGTGTATTCCGAGGGGTCCCTCCGGTGGACATTCATTCAACTGGTCGCCAGTGCCCAGAATATCTCAGCCTCGCCGCCCTCAGCGGACTCCCAAAGTCAGTCCCGTGCGTAATCACCCACGCGTGCAGAGAAGAAGGATCGGGTGTTTTATTTTCAAAGCACTGTAGCCTCCATACCGATACCGCACGTCAGCTCTGTTTATGAAGCAATACCGTCCCATTTTCTTGATGTTCTCCAGTGTTTTACTAAACCCCGTGCTTGTGAACGCCATACAGGAAACGGTGCCGTCACCAAACTCCGCGGGCAACTGACTGGGTGTACTGCTGACGACCAGGACAGAAACCCTTGGCACTGGCTCTCTGTGTCCTCTCAAGTGCCTTTTCGTTTGTACTGGTTCATTGTGTGACATTGGCGACCCACGCTGTTTCCTGCCGGGGAAGGCCCTCCTCTTTCACGGAACCCTGGTGACCCACTGACTAGGAAGAAAGTATATTTTAGTGCGAGACGTCAGCCCCCAGGAAGGCAAGGGCTTGAAGACTTGGCACCGTGGCTTAATCGTTCTGCTTTTTCTGTGGTTCAATTCCATGTCTCTTGACCCTTTTGTATAAAGCTGCAATATTCTCTCCTGTCGTTCTTTCATATGGAATGTATTTTCAAATGTA